CTTTTCTAGCATGCATAAGGCTCTGGGTTCAAGCCAAGGCATGTACTTCCCCTCCCCCAAATAAAAGCAACGAGTGTTATTCAAAAGAGGCAACAAGAACTTGAGTTAGAATAGAAAACCATGATATTGTATATATTGAAATACGTGCAATCAATTATCTTTGACAAAGATGTCAGTAATATCCATCAGGGAAAGGACAGTCTCTTCAATAAATGATATCAGTATAACTGATGCCCATGTACAAAAAAACATGTAATTGGATTCTTATTTTGCAATGTATATAAAAAAAATAACCTCAAATGGACTAAAAACATCTGAAACCATCAGGTCTAAGAAAAACACACAGAGAAAAAATCCATGACTTTGGTCTTAACAATGATTTTTTTGAATGGCACCAAAAGCACAGCAGCAATAAAAGCAAAAATAAGCAAGTGCGATTACATCAAGCTCAAAAGTTCCTACATAGCAAAGAAAACAAAATGAAAGGGCAGCCTGCAGAACGAGTGAAGACATTTGCAAACCATGTATCCAATTACAGGCTAATATCAAAGTATATAAGGAACCTACACAATTAAAAAAAAATGAAACCCAAACAACAACCCAACCAAAAACTGGGGAAAGGGGGCTGAGAGATGGCTCAGTGGTCATCACCACTGGCTGCTCTTGCAGAGGACCCAGATTCTATTCCCAGCTCCCACTTGGTAGCTAACAACTGTCCATAACTGTGGTTCCAGGGTATCTGATGCCCTCTGGGGAAAGAACCTAAATAAATACTTTTCTACAAGAGACAAAAAATGACCAATCAGTTTATGAAAAGGTGTTCAGTATCACTAAAGATAAGGGAAATGGAACTCAAGCCCACAATGAGGTATCACTTCACACCTGTAAGAATGGCTATTATCAAAATGTCAAAACATGACAAGTGCTGGCAAGGATGTGAGGAAAAGAAAACACTTAAACACAGTTGGTAGGAATATGTATCGGAAAAACAGTAAGAAAGCTTCTCAAAAAAGTCAGAAACCAAATTATCAGATGGCCTTGCAAATCCACTTTTGTGTATTTATCCAAAGGAAATAAAGCATTATCTGCATTCTCATGTTCACTGTATCATTCAGAATAACCAAGATATCAAACTAAACTGTCTGCTGAACCATAAATGATTAAAGAAAAGGTGGATGTGGGCATGAATATATTCTGATGTGTATACACACACACACACAGAGCAATATTATTCTGCCTTATAAAGGAAAGTGTGACATCTGCAGCAACCTGGTTGAACCTTGAGGATACTATGCTAAGTGAAATAAGCGAGATACAGCCTGATGACAAAAATAAAACTCACAGAATCATTGAGTAGATCATTATCAGACCTCAGAGGGGAGTAGGAATGAGATGTTAGCCTAAGGATACAAACTTCCAGTTATCAAATAAATAAGTTCTGGAGACGTAATAATGTATAGTGTAATGCCTATACTTAACAATGAACTCACTGTATACTTGAAATACATCGTTAGTTGCAACACTCACAAAAAAGTGCTAGCCTCATAACGTGATGGTATATTAATTAGCTTGATTGAAATAATCATTGCATAATATATTCCTGGTAAATCATGCTGTATATCTTAAATAGACACAATTTTTATTTTTCAGTTATACCTCAGCAAAGCTGAGGAACAAGAATCCAAGCTCTGATCTTTACTCATATGAAAAATCTGCTGCTCTATTAGCAAGGGCTCCCCCTTGCCCCAAAGTTAATATTTTCTAAGTATTATAATATAAATCAATATCCATATACTTGAAGGTTTTAACCGTACATGAATAATGAAGAGTCACAAGAAGACTGCTTTCCTTCCAATTCACATAGACAGATAGAAAGGTGTCTTTAATGCCTTTTCAAAAAATGTGAACATGCCAACTAAATCTGCATGAGCTTCTGGATCATGAAAGTTCTTTTGCATTTCTTCAACAAATACTTAGGACCTTTTCAATAAAGATTAAAAAGACAGCAGTGTCTGCCCTCAATGACTGAATTATCTTAAACAAAGTTCGCCATAACCCTGATGCCAGCAGCACTCGTTTCTAAACAGTATATGTTATAAAGCAACAGCTGGTCATCAAGATTCATCTAATGAATTCTTACAATTAAAAGCATAGTTATCAGCCCAAGGTTTAGGCTTGTTAACCAACCCTACTGGTTCACAGTAGATTTATGTAAGATTTAGGGCCCTACATGTTCAGTGTGAATGCACCATGCTGGTCCATCATAGGTACTTACAGAATAGACATAACAAGAAATCTCTTAAAAGTACGCTGGTTTCTTTCTACTCAACCTTGGGAAAATAGGGAAAGCAATGAATTTGAAGTAATATAGAAACACGCTGTATTTACTACTAACATTTTTTTGCCGTATATTTTTCTCTCCCCAAATAAGAAAATGGGTCTTTTCCTACCTCTCTTTTCCTCTCCTACAATGCAACTGTAAAAGAGACTAGATTTTCATCTACCTGATGACTTTATAGACATACACAGGTGCCACGGATCTGAGTGCAACCAATTATGACTAGTAATAATCAGATACATACAGATTAGAGACGCATGAGCCAACATCTCAGTGTTATTAGCAAAAACAGAGTCTTTCTGTAAGAAACAGTATATTTTAAAATGAAATGGAGATCTTTTTTAAAGGTTAAAAACTCATTCAATTTTATGTCTTACAGGGTTTATACTGAGCTCAATATTGTATAACTGTATTAATTCAACTGTGAAGCTAAAAATTTGCAGCCAATTTTGAAAGAGATGCATCTTTGCTCTGGAAATTGCTATTGAATATGTTAATGCTGTAATGAAATGCTTCTTCTAATCATGTGGTTATTAAATAAATCATTTTTTAA